CGGCACTTTTACAGGGCATGCAAGGGAGCTGTGCAAGCAATGCACATATGATGGAGCTCCATCACAGCACAGCAGCCCACACTGGACCCCAGGCTGAGGATCCACTCCAGTTCTCGTAAGGTATGGAGACTAGGTGGATATTTTGAATGGCATCCCAAACGCACCTCCCACCCACAGTTCAATTGCCTGCACCGGAACGCACGTAACTGCAATGCTGTGGGTTCCATTGCCGTGCAACTTGGGTCGCGACTTAATGACCAAAGACAAATGTGGGTCCTGAGGTTACACAGGTTGAGAACCACTGTTTTAAACAGTCTGATCCATATTCTATATTTGTACTAGTGGCCGTTGACACAGACACAGAACATGAGGGGAAATTCAAATTTCCAGCCCCTCTGCGTAGTTAGCCTCTATAACCCTTTATTAGGGCAGACATTTTCTTCCCGCTCCCAGCATTACGGAAGTCCTCCTGTAATGATGGGGCCAGGAAGAAATTCATCACTGGTTGTTAGGACTGCCCCGTGGTCCTAGCAACCAATTACTGAAGAGGAGGAAGTCCCCTAATGTCATATATTGCTAGCAGCACCCAGCGGTCCTAGCAACTAATGACAGCAGAGGAGGAGGACACCTGTTGCCATTGGTTGCTAGCACCACCCAGGGGTCCTAGCAAAAAATTACTGCAGAGGAGGAGGACCCCTGATATCATTGGTTGCTAGCACCACCCAGCACTCCTAGCAACCTATGACTGCAGAGGATGAGGACCAATGTTGTCATTGGTTGCTAGCACCACCCAGGGGTCCTAGCAAAAAATGACTGCAGAGGAGGAGGACCCCTGATATCATTGGTTGCTAGCACCACCCAGCACTCCTAGCAACCTATAACTGCAGAGGATGAGGACCAATGTTATCATTGGTTGCTAGCACCACCCAGCGGTCCTAGCAACCAATGACTGCAGAAGAGGAGGACCCCTGATGTCATGGGTTGCCAGCACCCCCCAGCCATGGTAGCAACCAAAGACTGCAGAGGAAAAGGACCCCTGATGTCACTGGTTGCTAGGACGCCAGTAGTTGTAGCAACCAACGACGGAAGAAGAACATAGTCCAGACACAGACTGATGCCGACCTGCGCTGGGCTATGGCTTGCAGTGGATGCACCGGCCTTGGAGGCTTGCACATCCACTGTCAGCCAGCCATAACCGAGTGAATGCCGGCGATCAGTCTGTGTCCAGACCACAGGCCTGACAGGGATAGCAAAGGGCTGTATACGGCCCCCCGGGCCATAAAATGTCCAAGTCTACTTTAAGGGAACTGGGGCTGCTAAATGTGAGCCACACTAAGCCAGATATATTCCCTGACCACTTGTACAGGAGCGAGCATTATAAAAGGGTCATCGTGAAAAAATAGATAGTAAGATTTATTTATTCTCCAATATTTTATCCGGATAATGTAACATTTATAGAGTCTTTGTCAATTCCTCCAAAACAAAACGCCCATTTTCTGCCCAGCCTTACAGTGATAATCCGAGCCTGGCTATTATTGAGTCTGAGTCTCCTTGTAC